GTTGCAGCAGAAACGTTCGTCGCCCTGATCCTTCAAGCACTCGCAAAGTCCATAAATCATAGCTCTCGCCAACTTCGGGGTGTACACTTGTGACTTTGCTGAGTTTCCTCCGAGGACTTTGCCATGAACATGATGTTCGGGACCGGGGCATTGACGACTGACATAATCCAGAAGGATGGGCAAGTCAGAAAGCCAGCCCGTAGGCTTCTTGAGACGGTGGCCGTCCTTGCCTCGGAGGTCATAGCAACACATGTGTCCCACACGAAGCTCGGCACGGGGCAGCTGATGTAGCCTGAGGATCTCCGGGTGCTGCCAGAAAGCCGTGTACGCCGGGTTCTCCAGGATGAAGTGTCCACCGAAGTCGGCGTGCAAGGCGAATATGGTATCCACCATTCCCTTGATCCACGAAGTCTGACTGGCACGCATCTGGTCGAGAGTGGCTTGGTCATAGTTGAGGTACTGAGCATTGGACCACAGGGTGCAGGGGAACTCGAACACCGTAACGAAAGGCTTGTGCTTCAGTAGAAGGGACCGGAGGGTCGAAAAGTCTGCTGGCGTACACAAAGATATGCCATGGATTTGATCCACCGGTTGAAGCACTCGCAGACCTTGTGCAAGGGCCTCGTAGGTGATCTCGGCGTGGCCACCGTAGATCTCCACAATGTCCGATCGGTACCTTCGTACCTCCCGTGCTCGGTGGGCACGGTACTCGTAGGCCCTTTTCTCGAGGTTCCACGCATCGGCCAGGGCTCGCTCGTTGCCTCGGACCCGCTTGGCCAGTCCTTCTTTCTTGACGATAAAGGCCCCAAAATCCTCGAGTTCCAAAGGTTCGTCGGCTGAGCCCATTGGGGCCGAAACATCTCCAAGGGGTTGTACTTCACGTAGAGCTGCTAGAACTCCTTGTCGAAGGCGTGGTTGTCCTCGTCGTCCGTCTGATCCTCCGGAATGAGGTCGTTGGGGTCGAACTCCTCGCCCTCGGAGCCCTCCAGTTGATCCCGGTCGTGAGGATCCAGCACCCAATTCGGCTCCTGCCATTGGCTCCAATCGGGCTCTGGTTCCGGGGGAGTCGTCCAGTCCATGTCCTCGTGGTAGATGCCCGTGCCGGTACTCATGCGGTCGCTCTCGGAGCCATGCCATTGCCTCCGTTGCGGAATGGGAAGGCTGGAACTTGCCGCGCCAGTCTGCATCATACTTCGAGCTCGGGGCACCATCTTCGGAGCCACTTTCGGAGCCGCCGCCATAGTTGATCTCGGTCGTGTACGGG